GCATACACTTTATTCAATAATAAAAATGCCCCAATATTTTTAAATAACAATAATACTTTAATAACATCTCAGGAATTAATCTACATTTGTAATACATGCAAAAATTTACTAATTCAAATTGTTCTAATACAAAATAAAAAGACAAAATAATAATAGTTTTATAATATAAACGAAATATTTTCTAAATTTAATAATGAATTACTTTTAAATGCTTACAAAAAAATCTATTAAAGTTTTAATATGTTATAATCTATTTTTAATTATTTTTAGTAAACTAATTTAGTAAACTATTTGTAGAAAATTTAATTAGTTTTTTTTGTTGATTCAAAATTAATAGAATTTTGACTTTTTAACTTATTGCAAATAAAATATATGAAAAATTGAAAAAATACGTGATTACGTACACAAATTTGCGTACAATTTATAATAATTTTGAAATAAAACAAATGAGATGTTAAAATAACATAAAACATGCTAATTTAAAAATCGTAGATATTATTGTATTCATAATTAAATAATAATAACAATTGTTTTCAATTTCATACAGCTGTTGTAGTTGTATTGAACCCAAATTCTTTAACTAATTTCTATATAAATCGTAAAATAACAAAAAAACCTGGCGATAATTCCAAATAATTCATATACATACGATTACTTAAAATAACACTGTCATTATTACACTTTCGTTTTATCGCGAAAACGTCTGGATATCTAATTCTGTAACATGTTACTAACCGATTAAAACTGAAAACAGCGTGCAAGACTGAAAGAATTTTAATCGAATAAACTATTATGTTCACTTTTTAAAACATGTTGTTTAAAACAATATCGCGCATCTTTTCGTGCTACAATACTCCACTTAAGCGAACGAGCCATCAGCCACTTCCAACATCACGCTCTTCTACGATATTTAATAGTAACTCATACAACTATTATTTCCTCTGAAAACTACAAATTTCTTCTAATACTATTTCTTCTAATACTAGTATATTTTTAACTTGATTATTACACTTAAATTGTGTACATTTTTGATGTTAATTGTATTAACTTAATGTCGCTGATAAACAATTGCTTTATTATGAGGCAATAGGGATAATAAAGTAATTTTATCCTTATGTATGAAATTATCTATTTATAAAAATAATTTCAATGAATAACATTTTAATATATTTATATTAATGCAATTATGTATTTAATTTAATAATTTTGTATTTATAATTTGATAAAAATGTATCGATTGAAATTAAAATTTTTCTTCTACTAAACAACTGTAAAGTTACAAGCAATTCAGTCTTATTTATTTGGTATATATGGTACTATTTTTTATCCTGTACAAATATTTCTTTATCACTTATCTCATGTTGTAATTATTTTATTATATACGTGACATTAAATATACATTTACTGTTCTTAAAAAATATTGACTGCTGTTTTTATACCTTTAATTTTCCAATAAAATAAAAATAACTATTAATAATTGTTAACTAACTTTAGAAGTTTAGAAATGAAAAAATAAAACTTCAAACTTAATTATATTCTAATATAAAAATATCACATCAAATAGAAAAATTAATGGTAAAGAAAATGATCTAATTTACAAGAATTTAGTCATCTTAGAAGAAGAGCGAAAGACAACGATACAAGAAGAGTCCATGTAGGATGTTCTTTATAAAAGTCGTCGTAAAGCAATTGCTGTTTAGAAACCTTAATTGCGCACGTAATTCGCGTACAAATGAAATATATTCGTATACGACAAGAACAATCGACTAGGACTTTGCATTTATGATTAAGTCAAAATCATAATAGGCAATTCATTCATTCCCTACGCAGTTCCTTTCTGTTGATTTTCAACTTTATTTCTTATATCTTGTTCCTTATATTATATGAGGACTCCACCTAAATGGTTGGAATCACATTTTTGTCGGGTGCCTTGAAAATTTCCTGTTTTCATAATGATATATAACTGTATTCTATTTTTTAATCTTGTACTACATTAAAACTAGGCTTCTGGAAATGATAAGTAATTTAATAAATTAAGCTAAATTAAACTAGGCTACAGGAAATGATAAGTAATTTAATAAATTAAGCTAATATCATTACGATGCGTCAATATTCATCTTTTAAATATCGGATGAAAAAGTTCACTTTTTATTAATAATATTAATAACTTGCATGTAAGCTTACTTTTAAATATGTTTTATTATATTATAAATATTTTTTCAATTAAATATATTTTTCTTAGTTTACAGACATTGAAGTAGTTGAAGTTTTAAAATACTAAACAATATCCATTATTTTGTTCAATAAGTCAATGATAACTCGCTTATAATTGCACATTTTTATTTATATGTTATATTTCTTCGATATAATTTCTATTTTTGCATTTAGAATCATAGAAAAAGATGTATAAATAGAAATTTTATGATAATCGTAAAAGTGCACAATAGGATATTGTGAAACTTTTTTATGACAAGGGTCATAATTCTCATAAAGCTTTTAATACTTAAAATAACGTCTCTATTTTAGGTACTACTATGAAGTACTGACCAGATCTCAAATTGTTTTAATGAAAAAATAGTTACTAATTTATATATATACGTTAATACAAAGATAATAATGATCGTATTAAGTTTTTTTTTATTTACCTATAACTGATATATCATTTATTTAACCATGCCTGAGAAAGTATTTAATAAGTATTAAATAAAATTTAAAACTTATTTACAATCCTTCATTTCTTAAGAAATTTGTTCTTTAATAAAAAATTTCTAATATTTTTATAATTTTTATAATTTTATTATTTTTATAATAAATATGATTAAATTATTAAAAATAAATATATTTATAACATTTTTAATAAGTAAATATTTTTATTTTTAAAATAATTATTAAAATTAATTTAGTTAACTTTTCAAATCTTCAGTCTGCCTTCTAAATAATTAGAAAATCTTAAAATCAATTCAAATATACAATCTTATTTTTGTCATTTTTTAATAAAAGTTGAATAAAAACTAATAAAAACAATTGGAATAAAATATAAAATATTTCAACAAAAATATTTTCAATTTATAAATTTATAATGGATTTTATTACTGATTTTTATAAAGTCATGAGTGATATAAAGTAATACAAGTTGAAAAAAATATTTTATATTAAATACCTGTAGGTAAAAAAATTCATAAAATTCTAAAATTTTAAAATTTAAAATCGGATTTAAATTTCATCTTAATTTATCGTATATTCATCAAGATAACAAATATATTTTATTTTATTCCAATTGTTTTTATTAGTTTAAATAAATGATATGTGAAATAAAGAAATGTGACAAAAAATGTAACAAAAATAATTTTTTCTTAACTTTTTAAAAATCTTTAGATAGTTTTGAAACTTGAGATAATAACTTCAAATAGTTTTGTATTTAGTTAGATTGTTTAATTATTTTAATATTTTAAATTATAATATATAATATCAATTAATTAATTTATGTTACTATTTTTTACTTATTCTAATTTTGTATTTTATTTATTATAATTTAAAATATTAAAATAATTAAACAATCTAACTAAATACAAAACTATTTCAAGTTATTATCTCAAGTTTCAAAACTATCTAAAAATTTTTAAAAAGTTAAGAAAGAATTATTATATTATGTCACATTTATTTATTTCACATATCATTTATTTAGGTTTTTTCGAAAAAATATAATTAAATATAACTCAAAAAGAATATCGTAACGTAAAAGATGGATGAATTTTACAAAATTGCTTTTTTTCTTTTTCATATGCATGCATAAACTCTCTTGAATTATATCACCGGGAATTGCAGGTAGTAGTCATTCGATGTCGTGCTATTGTCAAAAAAATGACATCATTACACTAAATATTCGTAAAATAATAAATAACAGATTTATGAACTGACTCTTGATAAGGAAATAAAAAAACAGAATGAGAAAAACCATAATATTGATATGTAAAGTTAGAAAACAAGCATTAACAAGGCAAAGAATTCGTCTTTTTTGAAATTTTTATTCTTTTTCACTTTTTCTTCCTATTCCTCCTTATTTTGGCTTCTTATTCTTATACTTCTTATTTTGGCGCGTTTTTCTTTGTTTATTATGATGGTGAGGATATTTCTGTTTTATATTTACATTCCATTAGCTCATCATAAACAAATGTATATATCGTAACTGTTATAAAGTAGACTATTTACTTATGATTTGAATGAAACTCATTAAATTTATGATTTTCGTCCTTATGTATTTTCCAATCGTTCATATTACTGTTTATATATGTGTTTGTGAGTTCACATAATCAAATATAACTAACGAAATATACACTTTGATATGTATTTAATTAATTACATGTGGACAAAAATAATTACAGTATTTTTTTTATTTTTTTAAATATTTAATTTTTGTTATATTAATATCTTAATAAGTTTAAAAAATGCTTTAATCCATACGTTTCTAATTATTTCTTAAAAACATAATCATTATAAACAGAATAAAATTAAAATACTGTTAAAAAAATTTACGATAAAATGCTATCTATTTTTCAGTATTATAAAAAAGTCATACTTCTCAAGGATGAAAATAATTAAATATTATAATCCCATGTTTTAATAAAATATCCTAAATATGTATTCATTTCACACATAATATATTTTAAATAAAAAATTAAAAATATGTGTAATTGATTGTTGAAAATAGATGAAATTTAGTTTTACTAATTGTACATTTATGTTATTTATCAACTTTATTTATCAAAAATATTATTAATTTAACCAATTTTATAAATACCTTTGTGTTTAAAATTATAAATATCAAACTAAGTAAGATATATATACATATATAAATGACCAAATAAATTAATAAAGTTGGATTATTAACATTTTTTAATTTTTTTTTAATGGATTTTCAATATAATAATGTTAATGACATAATCCATCTTTATTTTTCTATAGAGCAATTTTCAGTAAAATTTCGTAAATTTCTGTTTTAGTCATGTATCGACTACAAATGCAATTGCACGGGTGTTAAGGGTGACATAGGGACACCTGGTATAAGAGGTATAAAAGGCCCGGAGGGTGAGCCTGGTGAGATTGGTTCTGATGGACCTGAAGGACCTAAAGGTGAAAAAGGACAATATGGAGAGATTGGTCTAACTGGAGAAAAGGGCCTTCGGGTAAGTTATTAATCAAATTTTGTAATGACCCTTTAGCATAATTAAATAAATTATGCCATCTATTAAAATTCGGTATTTAACTTGATTTATTGTACGCTCATTAATTATATTGAGTTATTGAATTGTATTAAATAAGAAAATTTAGCATTGGCAATATAGCATCTATATTTGCAATATTCTGTATTGTAAGAAATTATGTTGTAATTTAATTTATAACTATAATACTTGTTAAATTCGTGTATTAAAGCTTACCATATAAAATTAATTAATTAAAATAAATCAATTTTTAAAAATCAATTAATATTATGTTATGTTTAACATTATGTTAAATCTTACATATTCCGCGAATAGTTAAAACTGTTTTATATTAAATCCCTAATTTTTTTATATAAAACAATTTCATATTATTAAAATCAGTAAAATAATATCGAGTTTTAAAATATGCATATCCAAGTAAATATATTTTAACAATTGAATGAAAGTTTGTAAACAAAAAAAATTTATTCCAACGATTAATTTAAAAATTGTGAAGTTTTAAAAAGTAAAGATTGCAAAATCTATTGCAAGTGTATATTCATGTTAATATTTCTGTAAATTTTACAATTTCAAAATATTAACAATGTAATGTAATCGTAAATATTAATAATTATATTCAATTAAATAATTCTTATACCTACACTTGTAACTTAGGATAAATCAGAGTACAAGAACATTTGCAGTTCAACCACAAAAACATCAAAATATTGCATTTCATCTATGTTATTTACATACAAGACCAATAATTGCATTAGCAATTTCTTTAAAAAAAAATGTCAATATCATTAATCAATTAAAAGAACCTCAAGAGGCGTAAAATTCTATATATTTCGTAAATATAAATAAAAAATAATTAATTAGATATATATTCTATATAGGTAGATCTACACAGATAGATTTTAACTTTAATGCATAGATGAATATAATTTTGAAAACATTTTACGCGAGAAAGTATTGATATTTTACGTTTCAAAATTTATATTTATATTCACATATTGTGCATTGATTAATGATGTCTAATCTGTAATAGGATAAAGAATTAAAATAAGTTCTATCAATTTTAACTTGACAAAAGATAAATTAAATTTTGGTAAATATATAATACATATTGTTATATACATTATATATAATACATTATAATACATATTAATATTAATTGTTATTGATATTTATCGCGATAGATATTATCTCAATTTTTTTTTATTCATGGATAAGTAAGTTAATACTTTTATATAATTAGTTTTAGTATTTCATTAAGTTTTAATTAAATTGATTTATTTATTAAGGAAAACTATTCTCATAATATATTTTTATATAAATTTAATTAAAATATACTTTTAATATTTATGAAACTTTTTAATATTAATTATTCGGTTTAATAATATTATGACAAATATTTTTGCAGAAATTTCACTAACTTGAACGATATAAGAGTAAATTATTTTTATGATTAAATAATTTAAAAATTAAACATAAAATTGAATATAATTATAAATAATTAATTTATTTGAATTGTTACATAATTACAAACTTTTTCTAATAATTTCCATGAATTAATAAAAATATTCATAAAATCAAATTAATTTTTTGGTTTTATGTAAAAAAATATTCATATAAAATAATTAAAAAACAAATTATGAAATATCAATTGAGTACTTTAAATAAATAAGTTGTAATTGATAGGTGTACATTGCTAAAAATTCGAAAACAAATTTATGAATCAAACATAGTATTAATATATGTAAATTATATTATTATAAGAATATCTAAGAAATGTCATTTTATATTGTCGTATCTCACAAAGTAGAAAAAAGTAAATCATAAAAGTAAAAACACAGGTTTATTCCGCACTCATAATTAAACAATATCATTGTAGATACTGTGACATTTAAATACCATATTTTAAAAACTTTTTATTATAAAAATAATGACTTTAGAATATAAAGAATATTTAATTTTATTCAAATAAAACCCCACCGTGTACAATACTGAATTATTCAATCACTAAAATTATAAAATTGTACTTCTTACATAAAAAATCCAAAAATTTATATTTTATAGTAATTCCTGGATATATTTATAAAACATTTTAATAAGGATATTTCATTGAAATAAAAAATTATATTAATCAACTTATATAAAAATAAATTCATTTTATGTTTATAATATAATTATTCGGTAACTAATTTATATAAAGTTTCTTTATCTTAAATTTTTAATTAATTATTATAAATAATATGAATTTTAATAAAATTAAAAAATAAAAACTAAATCAAATTAGTAAAATTTTAGTTTATATAAATACAGAAAGATGTGCAGTGAAATTATTGGTGTATTTTATTTTATGAAATATTTTTTTTTAAACGAATTAATTTTATCTGCTTTTATAAATATTAAGTTTTTATTATGAGTTCGATTCATATTTTGTGTTTTTTTTAGTTTACTTTTTACTATTATAAATAAAGTTAAATATACTTTTATATATTTATATTATTTATAAATATTCAATTACAATTGAAAATAACTATTCAAAAAATTTGTAAATAAGTAAAGTATAGTTAAAATAGACGTAAGAAATATAACTGTTTTGTGTTTAATTATTTATTAATTAAAATAGTTTTTAAATAAATTGATATAAAAGTATAAATAGCATAATGATTAAAGAATTAAGTTATGTAAATCTATATATACCCAATAGATAATTGTTCGTAAAACAGGCGAAAAAACTAAGATCAATAAATACAAATATAATTAAGGTAGTGCACTTTAATCCAAATAAAATGTATACACACTTATAATAACATATAATATCATCTCTAAGTACTTGTGCCTTTATCAATTAATTTTTATCAATTTGTGCGAAGGCAAAAAAGTTAAAAAATGCCATTGCTTAAAGCTTAATGTAGTAAAAAAAGTTTCTTATGACTATTTCCAACTAGTTTCGAATCAATACGCACATACATAGAATAGATATGAAAATTAAATTTATATTATTAAAAATAGCTTCTGTATGGCTCAAATGATAATATAAATGCAGAATTAACCATTGAGAATGAAAATATGAGCAAGAGAATAGATAAGGAAAAGGGGGAAGTGCAACAGTATTATAAGAAACGTGCGTGTACACACGGCACTTGGTAATTCATTGTGGGTGTTTAATGATAATTATATTATTCAATGCGTTTGGCATTGATCCTATCTATGTAACAATTACCTAAATATGTGACGGCATTAGCCACATATTTTTTTAACTCTCTCTTTCTCTCTCTCTCTCTCTCTCTCTCTCTCTCTCTATATATATATATATATATATATATATACATATATACATTTCTATATAGGTATATGCTCGAATTAAACCAACAATTTTATGTAAGATATTCCTAAGATCTTAATACTATTATTATTATTCTTACAAGCTTGATTGATTTAACAGTTTTAACAAGCTTTTTCTTTAAACATATTTTTAAAAGTATTAATGTTATTCCATATATATATATATATATATATATAAATTCATAACAGAAAAGAATAAAGACAAAATAATAATCATATAATTATTAAAAAGAAATTTCTTTACGTATATAAAAGAATTTATTTATTAATATTTCTATTTTTTATTAAAAAAATTGATTTTTTAGATAGTTATAAGAAATTATTACGTGCAACCTTAATTTAATTAATTATTATATGTATATTTAATATTTCATTAATTATTAATTATTTTATATTTTATTTATTTTAAGAATATTTTTAAATTAAATGTTAAGCTGTAAATAACTAACACAAACTTATGGTCCCCTTTTTACTAAAGTTCACTCCTTGCTATAAACATAAGTTTATATACAAATAATTCTTTATTTATGGTAAACTGTTTGTATTCGATTTTTATACATTTTTTATATTTAATGCAATCATTCACAAAATAAAATTTCATATCTTGAAATTTTAATAAGATCAAATAAATTTCTAAGTGCAAAATTAATCAAGATCATTAATATTACTTTAAATAATTTTCAAAATATTCTGACTAAATTTGAATGAAAAAGTATAACAAATCGCTGTATTGTGTATACAAAAATGATTTTTATTGAATGATTAATATTTTATAATATCAAAGTGAATCGTGAATTTGGTACATAATAAATAATTCTTCTTTCCAATCTTTATGGTCATATTTTATACAATTTGATCTTTGGAAATTATTAAATAGAATAAATGGCCCTCAGTTATGAGAGTTTCTCAAGAAATTAATTTGCCCCAAATTTCTTAAGTAACTGCAATTCTTTGCTATCTTACGATAATATACTGTTATCAAGCTATTGTCATAAGAATATTTAAAAATATTATTAATTTACTTAAATTAAAAATTAAAAAAAAAAAATTTTAATGTATATATATAAATACTACTACTCCAATTTACATTAATGAGTTTGTATATCGTTTTAAAGATATAAATGTAACATCGTCGTATTAATTATGTTTTATTTATTTAATTAAGTATTATATAATTTATATAAAACTAATATTATAATTATTAAATAACTAAATAAGATATATAAATTGATGAGTGGATTCTGTAATTTAATTTCATAAAATACAATACTTTTTAATGCATTCCTAAATTATGTTACAAATGTTAAAAATAGCATTTATATTTAATATTTGTTTAACAAATAATATTTAACTATGGTAAAAATTGTCATGGAAGATAAATTCTTTATGAGTTTTATGTATCTTAACTCTGTCAGATTTAACTCATTTAAAAAAGAAAATAACACTACACAAATTATAAAATATCATGCATTCAATCGCTTTTATTATATACAACAGTCTGTATAATAAATTGTATATGTCAAAATCTATAACTATAAAATCATATGTAATAATAATAATATTATTTATTATAATTTAAATGTAAAATAAATAGTAAAAAATGAAATTGAATATATTTATAATAATAC